ATGGTGCTTGATATTGATCATGTGCTTGGCAACCGTACCTAGTCCTCCAGTCGAGCGAGAATCTCTCCGTATGTCGTTAAATCATAACATATAACTCAGCCTTCTGGTCGGTTGTAAAAAAATCGCGAGACGTTATCGCGTGTGCATTTGCGACACCAGGCTATGTCCTGGTTCGTGGTACCATTTCTCCATCCAAGCTCAATTTGCAATTTCGTTCGACCAGGAAATCCTTTCCCAAAATTAAATATTCGGCTTGTGTTGGGACTACAGTGACAAACAGTTTGGTTATTCTTCCTATGTATAATATATTTAAACAAAAACCAGACTTGCAATTCGTCACCTTCTGGTCCGCCATCTGGACTGTTTATGTCGTTCTGCCGGGTAATATCCCTTTCCAATGTAACGGATAGAAGCCCCCATATCAGTTAGAGCTTTTTCGGTGATTCTTTCTACGAAAACGGGGATGAAATACCTGCAGACTCGTTTGTGGGATAAGGAGTACAACCGCAGTCCCTTGAGAAAACGTTGTCTGTACTACAACGGGAGCAGAATAGGACTGCCGATTCTCGACACTGCCTGAATAGGGGACATCTACGGCCTTCAGCATATGGGACGTGGGGACTCCCCAACGGGCCTCATCTCGTTTAATCAGCTCATAATCATTCGTTAGGCTTATCAATTCGACCAATATTTTGAAGTCGTGTCGGCGCACGTAATGTCTGTACTCTGTTCTAAGGTCTTCATAAATGCGATCGAGATGATTCATCACTTTCAACTCGGGATGGCGTCTTGCAGTTGTGAGCATGGTTAAGATGTAATCCTTGACCCTTTCTTTGTTCGAAGATTATAAAATTTGTATTCGATTTGGCTTAAATAACGTTTGGCTAGGAAGAACTTTAAAGCTTCGGTGCGGAAATCAATCCAGCTTTTGGTCGGCCAAATGAATTTCAATATTTATTATAATACTCACGTGTCTACAGTACGAATAATATGTGAGGAATCTTGATTGGATATGGTATTTTTATTAGCTGTTTTGATGGTTTTGACTCGTTGGCAATCGGATGTCGTTCCGATGGTAATCGATCTATTTGCCGCAGATTCGTCGGTGTTCGGATGCTTTCGGCTCAGGGAAGGTCAAGGTATGGTTCGGCTCTATACCCTTCGATGGCTGTCGATTCAGCAGTAGTCGGATATGTGACTTGGCCCTGTATCAATAGGGGAACATTTTTTTTTTTTGTCATAGAATGAATGAAAAATGACATATCCTTTTGGGCTTGAGAAATATTTTTGAATTGTTTCAATCATAAAAGTCGCAGACGTTTATTTTCTAAAGATATACATTCAGTACAAAATGATATACCTGCACGTAATTGTGGATAAAAAAGTTACATTTTGTCCACAGACCTTTCGAGGAAGTTTTAAGACTTGCCATTTTAGTGGATTCGTATATTTTTTTATATAGCTTTACGTATTCCTATAGCCCCCTTATAATTGTACATACCCATATTTGGTATTTTGACGATTTAAGCCACACTTTCTAACACAGTAGCTTTAAATCTGGTATTTAGAGTTCAGAACGAGTTCCACCTCCTCTGACAAAATGGATCTACGTTTTCCTTTGGTCCCATATGCAAATGTAATTCCCAATATTCCGTATTTTGAATCGTTTAGTCCCATTTTCTAAGGGAATTCTTTAAAATTCAGTATTTGGATCTCGTTAGGGTGTATTACTTCTCTATCAGAACAATTTCAATATGGGTCAACGTTGTACTATGGCCTCCATCCTTACTTTCCAAATGGTTGAGGGTATGAAAATCTCTGCCTGATCGATTAACATAGCATGGGGAGTATATACATTTTGTCATTTCGTTTGTAACACCTCGAAATATAAATGTTAGACCTCACAAAGTATATATATTCTTGAAAAAAATGGTATGTCGATTTAGCGATGTCCGTTCATCTGCCCGTCTGTCCCTAACGGTCCGTAACCATATGGGAAATATGTCACCCAATTTTATATAATGTCTAAAGTTAACTAAAATAGCTAAATGCGACTCTTGAAAATTTTGATCACAACAATACCCAAACCTGGAACGGAGAGCATCACAATAGCTACATGGTATGGAGCAATGTGATGGAACAGACGGTCGATTCCATTGCTGAAATAGAAGCACTTACGTGAAAGGAAACGCTCAGTTAAAACGGTGAAAAACATTGAGAGGACCAACGGAAATAAAATGTATAAAATAGATACCTCAATCTTCGACCACAAAGTAAGCAAGCAAGTTGTTAAATAAACTCAAACAACAACAGCACAGAAAAGCGGAGTGGCAAAAATGTTGCTATGCAACTAAAAAAATTTAATTAAAATTGTAAAAGGTATTATTTAACTTAAAAATTTTATATATCGATAGTCAAATGGCGCTCAAAGTAATCTAGCCAAGTTCTATCAAATCGAGAGCAATTTGTATTTGGAAGGAAGATCTTTTAGAATACCATAATTTAATTATGCCTGTTTGCGTCACATGCAATATAATTGGAAATGAATTGTCTGTCGAACTAGTTCAGGGCGATGACCGGTAGATTGTCAGATGCTTGAAGAAGGGGGATAAACAAGTAAAGTGCTAATTTGTACAAATTTTCTGTAGTTTTAATCAATTGTACACCTTATAAACAATATATAGATGCTGATGAGGAGACTCCTAAACATATCACAGTGTAACTGAAGAAACTTGAACTAGAAACACAATGTTGTCTCTTCCGTAATACCAAAGGAACACTTTTTATTTACATTTCCTTAATTGTTGACCTTAATGTAAATAAAATAAAGCATACATGCGTTTCCAAGTAATTGGATTCGGCAATATTTTTGTGATCTTTATTTGTGATCGCCACAAGCAATAAATACTCTTAATGTATTCCAAGGTTTCTACTTGGTATCTTTTAACAACCATTATTAGCTACATTATATAAAATAAATTAACATTCGATAGAAACTATTCTAAAGTCATATATTATTTTATAATTAATATCTTAGCAGTAATAATGGTTAAACTATGATATTTCCATTTAGGTAATTGCACCCATGACATCAAACAACCAATTGAAGTCTAAATCTCTCCTTCAGCGATGACTAGGTGATGGCTTGGATATTTTTTAAACCTTGACATATGTGCGGCTTAAATGCGTCGTTTAATCATACCAATTTTGGAACGTTCACCACGGCCTCTGAACAAAACCGGAGGTTTCAGACGGAATTTACAAATCTTCCCTATGTCCATTGATAAAACAACCCTTGGCCGGGGTTTCATTTTCTTCCTTTGTCTTATGTTTCACTTTCTTAGCGCTGTTCTAGGTATCGGGGCATTTCTTCTAAATTACACCTATAATTTTTCTTATAAAATAGTTGAGGATTTTCTTTGCTGAAAAGTTTCACTTTCTTAGCGCTGTTCTAGGTATCGGGGCATTTCTTCTAAATTACACCTATAATTTTTCTTATAAAATAGTTGAGGATTTTCTTTGCTGAAAAGTCGTGATTTAACTTCTTATTATAGAACGTGTAAGCTTCTTCAGTATATTTGTTCAGCTCTAGTGTCTTGCCGTCATTGTACAATATAAATTTACTGAAAAACGTTAGTAAGGAGGAGCAAATACAGGATCCGTATGTTCCTGCGTATAAAATTTAAAGAAATCTTCATACTTTTCTTTCTTGGCACGTTTGGTGGGTGGATTTCACAACCTTCTTCGGTTTTACCTGGGAATAGAACTTTTTTCTTTCGGATTTTTCTTTTTTTCACAGTAGCAAATCTTCATCATCGCCATCGTTTGCGCCAACCACCGGACCGGTGGTAGTTGCCATCGTTTCGTAATCTCTGATGTCCATTCCATGTTGGCAGTGCAATATTTTTCTTTCAGTCTGTACTATGTGTTCTTCGGCTCGCGGAACATCTCACTCGTCCCTAAGCCAATAAGTTTCTTTAGATTTATTTCTTCATCTTCTACTTTATAGCTAACTTTTTATATAATTTGTGTTGTTGCAAAATGATCAGGCTTAATCCTATTATAGTCATTTTTGTAACAACAACATTTGTTAATTAGTAGAGAACGATGGTAATGTAAGTAAAAAATAAAAGTAAAGTAAAAATAATAGTTGGGTAGAATATCCCAGACAAAAAAAAGAGAACTGATGAGGATTGGTGGCTCTTTCCGAAACCTAGGTATACCCTGTCTTACCCCTTGGTAAACATTACCATCATTCTCCACTAATAAAGAAACGTTGTTTTTATAAAAACAACAATAATGGCATTAAGCCTACTGTTCTGCAAAAACAAAATACTGTGGTATCCCGAACCCCCATGCCAACATTTTCTATTTTTTATATATTTCCAAATAGAACTTTTTCGCGAGATGACTATCTGCTGGAAATTTTACAAAATATTTTAGATATCGTAATCTTGTTTCGATATATTCTTCTCACTATTTCCCGAATTTTTAAAAATAGTATTACCTCTCTCTTCTTTCAACTTACCCAAGGCCCAACTCAGGTTATTGACCAGACCATGTATTGTAGTTTTCGATCGGAGGATTATGTCACTAGCTTTTCACCTTTCTGTTGAACTTTAGCTTTTAGAAAAATCTTCTTTTACTAGCCGCAAGCCCCTTTGGGGATAAATAGAACCTTCTTCACCACCCCATAATATCCTTTTGTAAAAACTGGAATCACAAACAAGTGAAACAAATCGGCTAAGCAGTTCTCAATTGATGAGTTACTATACATTTTTTGCAATTTAAATATTCATATGTGTTCTATACATATATATAACTTGAATACATAAACAAATTGTCCCCCTTTGCCCACTATAGGCATTTTAAATTCTTATTGTTACGTAACGTTCTCGCAATACTTTTTACATGCTAAGTGTAAGATTTTGTTCATATATCGTGAGGTGTTGTTAAAAAGGCAATTAAAAAAATATAAACGTACTAAATATTGTACTTACTTGTTACAAGGTAGTACACAAATACCACAACATTTTTCCATTCCACTTAAATTTTTTTCTGCTTCTCTCATATCGGCATTTATTTGGTCCATTCCCTCTTCAATTCTATCCAGTTGTTCTAAAATCAAAAACATATATACATAAAGTATATTAAATTAATATAAAATTCGGGTTTGAAAAAATGTTAATTTAAATATATATCATTTAATGCGTTTTATTAAAAAAAGTTAGACTAAGTTACTCGGCCATCTCCAAAATACCTAAATAGCTATCGGAAATTATTCTGATTTGGTTGAAAATTGGTGTCGAAGCCTTGAAAATATGGCAACCAGAAGGAACGGTTTAGTGACCGCTTTGGATCGAGATAAGCTGAACATGAAATACACACAATTTTTTTTGAAAATCGGTTTTATAAAAATACGATAAGTACTATGTTTTGTATTTAGAGAAGGTTTGTTGTTTACAATTTAAATTATGTTGGGATAATCCTGTATATACCTTGTACAAATTAGTACCGGTATATTGAACTCACGTCAAAACTCGACAAAAAAAAAGCTTGAAAGGGTGAATTAAAAATAAAATTATTGCCATACTATTTACTCAGTTCAAGAATACTTGATACTTGAATATACTCCTATCGTTTGGATGCTAGAGATAACCGTTAGGTTTAAACTATCTTCATTGATGAGGTGGACAAAACCAATACCTCGGACTATTCCCGAAATTAGGAATTTAAAACTATCTCAAAATATCAATTTAGAGGTTCTTACGTTAGTAATGCATCTAATCGGACGGTGCCATTGTAAGTGTTTTAGTAAAGACAGCAAGATGGGAAAGGTTTGGAGTCGAAATGTTCTACTCATTGGAAGCCATAAATACTATATAAAAGTTGATTCATTTTGGAAAGCTATCTGGAAACTTCAATAAATAAAATCGACTGGTATCAATTTATAGCACGTTCGTCCTTTATAATGAAGCCAATCATTTTTGAGTTACATATGGGTCTTTCAAACTTAAACAATCAAAAATAATCATTACAAACTACAAGGACGGATCAGCAAGGCAGAAATTTTCTTCCTGTTGTTTGTAATCGCAGTGGGACGCTTTTTACGAACGAACATTTTGAGAAATGCGTCCAGAAAGTCGGTTAACTAAAAGCTAACTAGACAAGTTTGATGCGTCAGTTCTGGATCAATACTAACGTTAACTTAGGCTGTGAGAAATTTTGACCCTTGTCATCTTCCTCCACCATGGAAAGCCGGTATATTACATTTGTTTTTCCATTTGCAACACATAAATAAATATTTCCACAAAATATTTATTCATAATCAAAATAAAATTCCAAGTCGATTCAACGATGTCCGTCTGTTGCAATCTCACTACAGTCCACTTTATTTGACGTATAACTTCAACATCTTACACAAAAGTTTGTGTTGTCTTGCGATGATTTTAGTGGATTTTTCCAAGGAATTGTTGCAAATTTAGTATGAGGAATTTTTAAGAGTTCTACCTCCGGTGGCAGAACTATTTATGCATAGGTCCACTGTTTCCTATATCGCTCATATAACAGGTCCTTTGGATATTAGGTATTTTAGGCTTTTTCAATGGAATTGTTAGTCGTAGGAGTTTTGATCTGAAAGATATCTGACATATGCTTTTGACTTAATATGTGTACTTTTTCTTTATAATTGTAGAAGTATATCTAAGCAAATATACAAGATATTTTGGTTTTTGAAAAATAATTGTTTCAATTATAATTAGTTAGAAATATCGTTTTTTTTCTCTAAATATGTAATGTATTGTCGCCAAAAAGTAAAAAAAGTGCCACAGCCCGATACAAAATTTATGGGGAAAATAACATTTTTGGCTTCAACTGACGGCATGCTTTGCTTGAATTGTATTACCATGGAGAACGAATACAGTGGCTATGGAGGGTGTGTCAAAACTGGCAATTTTCAATAATCGTCATGGAATTCACGATATACGACAATGCGGTTCGATCACATAAGAAAAATAGCACAATTACCTATATAAAAACCTTAAATTCGATCGGGGCAAACCATCCACAATTATACAAAAAAAAATATTTTTTTTTAGATAAAAGTACTTGGATTCAAATATGTTCCATTTTAATTTGCAAAAACCAGTGAAAAGTTTTAAAATACAGTAATGTGTGTGGAATTGTTATAAGGGAAGCTCAACAATTTTGTACTACATGAATTGTTATATATTGCGAGTATTAAGTACCAAATTTTAGCTTCATATGGAAATCGTCTACCATTATGGACAATGTTTGTACAGCGAGAAGAGAATCCGAAAGAAAATGTGGCCTAAATCGTAAAATTTCGAATAACTACAGCTACCGTTATATGAAGGTACGACGTGGACCTAAGTCTAACGTGGAAATAATAAATAAATAAAAGAAATAAATCATATAGTAGACTTATGTAGTGTAAGTCTAATATATGATTTATTTCCTTTACACAGCATCTCCTGATATTTGTTATATCATCTTATTTAATTACATTTTTCAACCTCAATTACTAGTATTATAAAGTTTTAGCAACATTTATGTAATTTTCAATTCTTTTAAAGGGTGATGCATGCTGTAAAGTATTTAGTTTTGTATTCTCGTATCAGGGTAAAATCCCTGAGTGTGCGGCTTCCGCTGAAATCCCAATAAAGGCGCAATATATGCGTTAATCCCTGAACCTCCATACTACATTCCGAGGGCGATTGGAATATATCCTCCTCGTTTAGGTAGAATATTACTGCAAAACATTCGTCCTTGTGCACGTTTTTGTTACAATTTTTACTGAATACACTGTAATTTGACATTTAAAGTTTTCTGTATTGTGAAATCTATGACGGCTATCATAGTTTACTATAGGTTCCCTATTACAACATAGCCTCTATTTACAACTTCGCTTAGATTTTAAGATTAAGATTTTTATGTCTACTCAAATGTGAAATTGTGTGTTTCTGTTTCCCAGAGGATATAACTACACCTTTATGAGTTTAGTACTTCGTTTATCATAGTCTGAAATTTATCATTATTGGTTCCAATGAATGGAAATTTTCCATACAAAAATAATAAAATAATATTGTATTTTCTTGGTTGAGGATCTAAGTCAGACATGCCATTGTATTGTGCACTAATATAATTTTCAATTTTTTTTAAATCAGAATTAAAAAAATGCTATTTAGAATTCTAAAAAATTACAACAAAAAATGTTTTTTCGATTTACCAAAAATCCTTATATTTCTCCAAATAATGAAGTATCTATATGCATAAACGGTTGGGCCGATTTCACTAAAATTTTCTGTTAGTTATTGATAATTGGAAAGGTTTTCACGAGTGAAATTGTTGGGAGAAGCTTCCAAGGTTTTTTTTCGCCTTTTTTGTATATTGGTCTGGCCCATCTTAACGGGGTTTTACTTTTTAACTTCATCGACAATATGAAAATAAAATGACGTTATACATACACAAATATACATCAAATTTTCCACTAAGTATTATCAACTTTTCCATTCAAAAAGCCTTTTCTGAACAATTCTACACAAAATTCCATATAAAAAACCGCATTCCATATTTCTAATTTTGCGAATTTTTTGGAGGTCTTCCTCCAAATTTTCATTCGTAAAAACTTCTTTACTGCTATTACAAGCAACCCAAAGGAACTTTAAGTGAATTCGGTCCAGCCGATCTCAATAGATGAGATACTATACATTTTTACACCATTTTTATATGTATAAGATTTGAAATCTAGCCATTCTCAACTGATTAAACTATCAACGAACAGCATTTGATGTTTATAAATATATAGCTTACTTCAACCTGCCAGTATCTTAATGTACCGTATCGAACCGATATTTAATCCCTTTTACTACAATATTATTTACAATCTCATTCAAGTGTTGACTTCCGTCTATCGGTAATTCGCATATCCATTCTGTCTTCAAAAAATTGTTTAAGTCTAGACAAAGCATATGACCTATTCTGATCCGTTACTTCCACCCATTTCTGCAAGATAACATATTTCATTCCATTTTTAAGAACTCGAAATATTCATAGGAGGCCCTAAAGAGTATATAAATTCCTGATCAAATTGAAAATCAAAGCCAGCGATTTCCGAATCTCAGTCTGTTAAAATCACGATAGAATCCACATTATTTAATATAGAGATTTGAAATTTGGCACAAAGGTTTATATTATATGCAGGATTAACGGTATTGAATATTGGTACATGTTCAGGTATAGCCCCCATACAACGGTACCTCAAGATATTCTGCATTTGGAAGGTATCGGCCACAATTTCCAACCAAAGCAGCTGAAACTTTACCTTTGGGGTTCTTGGGAGGTCTGTTCTCTCCCTTCAAAAAATATTTAATGTAAGTGTACATACTAATTGTTATTGCCCCATATAACGGTACCAACCGATTTTCGGCATTTAGAAGATTTCTGGCGCAATTTCCAGCAAGATTAGATTAAATTTGACAATTAGTGTTCTCCATATAACAGTTGTTGGAAATCTTCCCAACCCCATCGATGATGACATCGACATGAACATTAACATCGATGAATAACAATCGACGAGGTTCCATCACCATCAAAGAAGAAAGGCTTCACTTCTTCTTGAAGTTTTTTTGAAGTGGATGGACTGATCAATTTATGAATTTTATTTAAAAAAAATACCAATTGATTTGACCGAAAGAATCAACATTCAATTGAAAATATATATTTATAGTGTTTGTGTAGACAATAAACAGTAAGTATTGACAGAATGCATGTTGTGTTTGTTGTAGTTGCAAAAATAATGTTGTTATTCGTCTTTGTTCAAGAATACATTTCGGTTCAAAACCTACTCTGTAGACTTTGAATCATTACAAGTCCATACAACGGTATTGGAACTTATACCTGGTCCTTCGAGTTCAAAAAAAAAAAAAAGGAATCGGCTAATGCTAACAAAATTACAAAAAAAATTAATTCCGCTCGAATGAGGCAGCTTTTGTGATGTTTGTCGTAAGCACTAATACATTCAGCAACTCAACACTGTCATTTCCAAAAAGGGAAATAATTTGTGTGATTTGAGATGAAAAAGTGATATTTGTTTGTAT